CACCCCACCCCCCCGAAATTTAAACGTTCATTGGATTAAATGACAGTAATGTGATTGAAATAAGATTCTGAACTAAGGCGAGACTTTTTTTATTTATTGGTTTACGGATTTTACTTAAAAAAAAAAACAGGTCGGTAGGTCGGAAAAAAATAAAAAAATAAATTGTTTTTCAAGATTGTCACAACGATAACATGAGACAGTAGTACTTAGAGTCAAAGTTTACTTGGCTTGTACTTCATGTCAGAACCCCAAATTAACTAAAATGAACTAAAATCGTAAAATTGTTGACATCCAATTTTTTTTTTATTTTTCACTTTCTGAATATTTACGGTCGGCGGATCCGTAAACCAAAGAATAAAATCTCGCCTAAGTAAGATTAAATTAAAACATAATTTTCACTCAGAATTTCCATCTACAAAAAGCCCTTGAACACAGTTAGTTCTATCACGTGAGAAAATCCTAATATCTATTTAAGGTTGTTATATCTCGTTTACAAGAACTGTGCTCAAGCTTGCTCACACTTGGTACAGAGTGTTGTCACAAGAGAACAAACATTGAAGCATCTAAATGTTTAGCTGGTTTGATAAATAGAATAAAAGATGGTAGGTCTTCTGTCTCATAAACCCGAATTTTTCATCCCCACATGCGCCAGCCGGACAGACATGCTGGCGTGATATACAGGCTGATTATAGCATGATATGCAGGTTGGTTAGCGTGATATTCGGGCTGGTTATGGCGTGATATACACTGGTTAGCGTGATCATAAATTAGTTTGAGTATAGAGTTAGGTTTCCCCTGTACTCGCAAAGGAAAACTAATTTGCAATTCATCTAATGAAATCATATATCCGCAAGCTGTGATAGTGAAAAAGTTGATCAAGATGGGGATTTTATACTATAAAGATATATTACATTTCTTCTTTGAATGACTCAAATATTACACATACCAAAAATCATATTTGTGGTTAGTCGCACTTTAATATATCAAGTTCGAGAAATACTTTTACATTTATATCATTACTAATATAGATAATAAAGTTGAAGAGGAAATAAGAAAATGTCTTCAAAAGTTAGATCCATTGTTAGAAGCAGGTCGGAGCGAAGATGAAAAATGGCGTGCAACGATTGTTTTAATTTGGGTAAGTGGGAAGACGAAGTTAAAATAAACAGTTATCATGGCACATGGAAAAAATTAAGCGACAATTTCCAATGTTAATCCTACTATTTTGCAGATAACGAAAGCATTATTAATACGAGCACACAGTTTTGGTGTACAATTACTTGAGAAGGTGTGATATGGTGGTTTTAATTGTTTCTGTTTTTTTGTTCTGTTCTTCAGCTTATGTTGCCTAAACTAAAAAAGTTATAAATAACTTGCATGTTAAACTAATTTTTATCCAGGCAAGAAAAAGTAAATTCCCGTAAAGAACTTATTAAAATTAGTAAAATTGGTTACGAAATGTTGTAAAATACGGAAAATATAGATATGCGAAGTTTGCATATTTTGTATATGTTTGTATTAGGCCAATTAAAAATAATTTTCAGTTTTTCATCGCCGCCCGCCCCTGAAAAATTGGCCGCCCGGAATAATTTTTTTATTATTATTAAATCGGAATTGGTCGGAAGTAGTCGGAAACCGAACATTGGCGGCCATATTGTTTCAACATGCCTTTCGTTGTCGTTCAAATACGAGCTGGAACACAAGTTTTGAAGCCCTGGATTGAAGCCCTGTCGGAATTGTGGTTCAATGTCAAGATTGTGACAAATGGAGATGCCTGTATTCCAAGAAAAAGATTTCGCGTAAACTGCATGGTAAAGTTGAAAGTGCGTTGGAGGATTTGTCCTACACATGTGGCAGTGTGTTCTCGGATTTGGAGGATGAAGAAATGAGAGGGGTTTTTTATTCAGTGTTTGTGAAAGCCAGTCTCGATTGCAGTCAACCAACAGAAAAGCCGTGGTATGCAGCAGGTTTTGAAGACATTTGCTTCTTTTGTGGCGTTGAAGACGATCTTAATACCAATCCCGAAAGCTATCCACTATGTGAAGAGTGCAAGAAACCTCGCAAACCAGAGAAGCGATCATCAAGAAAGAAGTTTAAAAAAACTTGAAATTTGGCTACAAGTGACAAAGGCTATAAAATTATGTTCAGTAAATTATTAGTCATATACTTTATGGTTCATATTATTAAATGTTTTTATTTCTTTAATAAATGTTTCATTACGCATCAGTTCTGCACTATCAGAGTACAACATGGTCTCGTATTTAGGCGTAGAAGTTAAAATGGCTCTTGACTGTGACTATTTCTTGCGTAGACAAAATGTGTGAAATGGAAGACAACCTTTTAATCCGTTTTTTAATAAAAGGGGAAATATACTACTTACGCTATTAAAAAATAAATAATAAAAAAAATTAAAATCCGCCCGCCCGCCCCCCGTTTTTCAAAAAATCTGATGAAAAACTGAAAATTATTTTTAATTGGCCTTACGTGCGGAAATTGTTACCATTTTTGAGCCGAAAATGCTAACAATATCCGCACGTAATACAAACAGATACAAAATTTGCAAACTTTGAAGGCTATATTTTCCAAGCTTTACAACATTTCGCAACCAAATTTTGCAATTTTACCAATTAGTCATTAATATGTTCTTTTAGCTGTGGTGTTTGATTCCCTTTTCCTTACTTAGATTAAAATTTAGTCTAACATGCAAGTTGTGGAGATTTGAACAAAACTCCACCAGATAAAAATGTGATTGTGTCAACAATTCTGAAGATGACCGCCATCTGTTGTATCATAATGCTCACTGAATAAATTCTGTATCAGTTATTAGGATTATTTTGTGATCCAGTCATAAGCCAGTGCGCTGCAGATGGCTTCTATATTATTATGTCCACTTCTGATGACGTCATGACAAACTCATCTTGTGCAAATATTAAGGTTGGCAAAGATTTAAAATGTCTTTGTATGTGTATGTATATGTATGTGTGTAGTTCAGTATACAAATAATGAATGCTTATGAGTGCAATGGTAAGAATATTTTCATTCGGTGAAAGATGGAATGTTCCATTCAACGAAGCGACAGCCAAGTTGAATGGAACATTCCATCTTTCACCGAATGAAAATATTCTCACCATTGCACGAATAAAACATTCATTATTTGTTTTATATAATACCAAAATAGACTAATATTAAAAGGTTTACTGTAAGCTCCCGTCATTTTGACGAGTCGTATTTGCATGAAATCCCATTTACTGAGTTTCGAATATCGGGTTAAAATAAACGCGATCACCGTACGAGAAGCATTTTGACGGATGCGATTTATCGAAAACACAAAGAGTGCAATGGAATAAAACGTATAGTACAATTGCACTCGCAAGAGTGCAATATATCTCCTCTTTCGTCACTTTTTCTTCAAACAGCTCGTCTCACACCCGTTCAAGTTCGGACAACTTGCTTCATGTTAATCATTGCAGGACTTCTCTCTTTAGGAACTCTTTTTTCAACCGAATTGTCTTTCTCTGGAATAATCTCTCTCCCACCATTCGTAATAGTTCATCCGTTTCCTCCTTTAAAAACAGACTAACTGTTCATTACTCTTCTCTACTTCATTCATCTTTCGATGTAAACAGAATGCGCACTTGGAAAACCTTCTGTTCTAAGTGCCGCTCTTTCAACTTAAGCTGTTGTTCGTAATTCGTCATGTTTTCTGTAAATTTTATATTTGTTCTCGTCTTTGATTTATGTTTGTTATAGTTTGTTTTCATTAAGGTTGGTCTTCACATGGGGCTATTCATGTCCTGTTGACCATACCTTCAACCATATTATGTAGTGGTTTAATCTATTTTATGTATGGTTGTAAAGTTAATAAATAAATAAATATCACGTGACGATAAACAGCCAATTAAACGATCAGAATTCAATAAGGTATTATATAATAGTTTCTATCATTTTTTTCTAAATTACTCAAGTATATTGTGTCAGTGTATTGCATTTCATGACATTGTATATTGTTGTGTTGTGTTGTGTTGTGTTGTGTCGTGGTTGTTCACTTGTGCATAACATCATTTTTTCTTAGCTTATGTACAAGCAACGGATTTTCATTCAAGTATCTCCAATGCTGACGAAGCTCTTTCATTCTAGTACAAAAGGTTGGTAAAGAATAGGTTGCAAGTGTAAATTGTTCTCAAAGACAAGATTCGTTGTATTTTCCACACATTCATTCCATTAGACCCTAAAATAGAAATCCTGCTTACAGTAATCATGTTACCAGACAAACCTGCATGGGTCTAGTGTGTATAAGTAGTAGTCTACAATAAGCTGCCGTGGTTGGTGTCTCTGGACTACCTGAGCATATTTTTTCTTGTATATAATACTTATGTTTTGATATATTTTATTTTAGAAACAAAACATCTTTATCTCTGCGCACTTTCCCATATTTTACATTGGCTTCCTAAGCAAGTTCTTCTTAGTGAAATACCAACGGTAGGTTGACTTTTTCAATGTTGATAGCCATGACTATGATCACAAGCCAGGGTAGTTGTACAATGCAAATTCATGAAAGAAATATTGCATTTCAAAATACGAAATTTCGGCACGCTCCTGACAAAAACAGTGGAAAGGGGCTGGATTGACGCCCAATAGCTCGAGCAATAGCTCTTCAATTTCCGCCATTTTTGCTTTACCTTTTGGACTCGAGTTCTCGCTACAGATATATATGGAGCACTCACTGATACAGACTGCAGCAGACTAGACTTGCCCCAGAGGACTTGCCCCAAGTCTCGCTCGAATGGGTTTTGATAGGGTCTATCCAGTTTATTATGAGATCAGTCAAAACTGATGAGATCTAATAACAAACTGATAGACCCTATTAAAAGTGATCAAAACCCATTCGAGCGAGGCAAGTCTAGCAGCAGACTTGCTTCAAAGTTGTTCCAACAAGTTGTTATCAGGTTGGGTTTGCACTGCTTGTTCCCAGTTGTTAATAAGTTGTTACAGTTCTGCAACTGATTAGCTATATAAAGCTGATATCAGATTTTGTTCACACGGCTAGATGTAAGATTTTTACATTAGTAAACTACAATTGTCTCGAACACTTTTATGTATATTATTAATACGTAATAGGATGGTTCCTGGCGAAATTTGGATAAAACAAGCACTTGTGAGTTTTTCAAAGACCTCAATTAGCACTCGTCCTTTGGACTCGTGCTATTTTGATGTTCTTTGGAAAACTCATCGTGCATGTTTTATCCAAAATGCATTTGAAACCATCCTATGACCTATGCTAATTTTACATGTGTATTTCTAGTTACTTCCATTGTTAGTTCAGTCATTATCGTGCGAAGAGACAAACCTTCAGCTCTCAACCTTGGAGACATTTTACTCCTTAACACATGACGTACCTAAGATCATTTCTCAATATGTGACGTCACTCGTACCCAGGTACTCACATCTGGCACAGGATGCGCCGTCCTTGGTAAGAACAGCTATTCGCCATAGCTAGTATATATAGATTTATTTCTAGAAATTGCTTCCCACCAAGTTTATCACATTTTTTTTCATGCAGAAAATTCGATGTATGTCTCTGAAATGCCTTGGAGTTTTAACCGTTTTACCTCATCATGAAGTGAGTTTTAGTTATAATCTGTTTCCCTGCTGAACTAAGTCTGTTTATTCTGGATGGCTCTGTCCTAGAAAGGTTCAATAAGAATCGATGGACTTGAATGATGTGATTTCTTGCACTTCACTTGGTGGAATTAATATTAGAATGTTAGGGTTTGTAATCCAAGTGATTATATATACATTTTAATAATAATATTAATTCCACCAAGTGAAGTGCAAGAAATCACATCATTCAAGTCCACCTTATCATAACCCGCACACCCGATTACCTATATATACATGAACTTACGGTTACAGCTCAACAGCTGGCCTCTGTAGCTCAGTTGGTTAGAGCGCTGCACCGGAATCGCAGGGCCGTAGGTTCAATTCCTACCAGAGGACCTTGTGCTGCATTTTTCGCAGTCGTTCCTGGTCAGGTCTTAAAATGTATATAATCAATAAGAATCATCTTTGGTTAGTCCAGGGTTACTACAAGAAAACCTGAAACTTTAGTTTAAGTCTATTTCTACTGGATAACTCTATCAATTCTAAACTGTTCTTCCTAGAGAAGTTCAATATATAGGAATCATCCCTTGTTGGCCAAGAAAACTCGCCACTTACTAAAAAGTCAGTTTATCTTAAATTGACGACCTACGAATTTCAAGGATAAGACTCCTGCAAGGATAAGACTCCTGAAGAAAACAAACTGAAGCTCCGTAGTCTACCAATTTTCATGCCCCAGTTGCCGAAGCACCTATACTGTCTATTAGTAAAACAGACGACTGTCTACATGCATAAAAGAGCGCACGCGAAAATTCAGAAATCTACGCCCACATCAACTCGTGCGATGTGGAACTGTCGCCTGACCAATCTATCTCTATGGCTATAAACACTAATATAACCCAAAGAGAAATATTTTAAAGAGAATTATTTCTTACTTTCTGTTAGGTATATCCTTATAAAAAGCAAGTTATACAATCCTTGGCTAAATGTTTGGATGATCAAAAAAGATTGGTCCGGAAAGAAGCAGTACAATGTCGAAATGAATGGTAAATATAAACTAAAGTTTTTTTTATTGTTAACTAGAGACAAAGTCATCTCAAAGATTTTTGGTCAAACATCGCTTTACAAATTTGTAATTTAAGAGATAATTATCCATTCAAGTATTTGATTTGTTTTGATTTGATTTGGCTTTATTGACACTCCCCCGAAGAGGCTTTCCAGTAACAAAATTACAACATATAAATTTACAATGTCATTAATCCATTGCCATTAACACTAAATCCTAAATAATTTATATAATTTATGATAACACAATTACGTATAACAACAACGACGACAAAAGTACAGTAACCACAACAACAGTAACGACAACGACAACAACAACAACAACAACAACAACAACAACAACAACAACAACAACAACAACAACAACAACAACAACAACATACTAATGATCAAAAACATGCACTTAATTATCTTAAAATTGCTAAAGTAGTTTACGTTTTAGTTTCACTTTAAAGTCTTGAATAGTTTTAAATCAGATTTCTATGTGGGATTTCATTTCCGAACCAACCTTAAAGTCAGTCTCAAACGGATATTCACTTTCTGCTTGCCTATCTTCCGCCATCCGTGAGCCTACCAGAAAACCTTGGCAATTAAATTTTTGGACTAGTTTTACTATAACTTTCTATTCTTTTAGGTTTTTGCTTGGCTCGGCTGCTGAATAGGATCATTATTGTATAACAGAGGCAGTGATGTTACTGCAGGAGTGATCTGTCAACAGTCCCTCGCCTTTCGCTGAAACTTCTTGATGTAACCTCGAATGTTTCTGGTTTCCAACCCTTGGTAACATTCCTGTAGAAACAGACTTTTCCTTCCCAGGGTTACCCAGAGGGCAAGGGGGCAAAGGGCCCCGAAAATTAAATTTGCCCCAAAATTTCTACAGATGTATGTGCGGCCCTGTTCCTTCCGGAAATCTTCCCAAGAAATTCAGAAACATATGCGTTTCCCAAGTTTAAGTTTGTTGCAAAAACATTGTTTCCTGGTTTGTCCAGCTTTGGGAAATATGACTAAAATGTTTCCTGGCTTGTCTACCTTCAGGAAACATGGCTAGGAAACAATAGGGCCATTTATACGGAACAAAATAAGACGCGACTTACATAAGACGCGACTTAAATTAGACGCGAGTTTGTCGTATAAAAGGTACAAAATTCTTATGTAAGACGCGTCTTGGATAAGACGCGTCTTACATAAGAACAGGCCTTTTAGCTGTTCTTATCTAAGTCGCGTCTTAAATAAGAAATTTTGGACAAAAAGTTTAACTACACATGCCAGAAACTTGAAACAACTTAAAATTATTAGCCTTGCATATTAAAAAAAAACCGAAACAACATTATAGCTATAGCAAGTAAATAAGAATAAAGCCCTAGAGAACCATTTATGCGATAACTCCGCTTATTTAAGTCGCGTCTTATGTAAGTCGCGTCTTATTTTGTCTCGTATAAATGGCCCTAATGTTTACTGGTTTATTCACCTTCGGGAAACATGGTTAAAGGCTGCCTAGCTTTGGGAAACATGGCTGGGAAAGTGAGCCCACTTTTTATGATACAAACAGTTTAACTATGTTTTGAGTTCTTGTAAAGCCTGATTGTTGTTTCTTGATCATTTATTATACTCTAGAAGCTTGAAAATATAAATAGTTGTCGAATAAAGCTCAATATTTTGGACACAAAAATGTAAACAAAGGCTTTGTTTACATACGGACTGTAGATCACCTTTAAGCGTTTGTAAACAAACCAAAACAACATTATAATCAAATTGCCGATAATGTCATTGAATGGTATGGCACCTATGATGGCACAGAGGGTATGGCATATGTACTATATCGTGTACTTTGCGTGTATTGTGATTTTTGTCCCGCGAGCACAGAGCCCGCGAGTATCATATCCGCCCGATTTTCACCTTTTAGAATAAGGCGGAAAAAATAAAAGACAACGTATATTATCTATATTAAATTATTTTAATATCATGCCTAAACTTTAATAATATAAATCAGGATGAAATTCAAAATATATACGATATTTTATGTTCTTGTTGCACTTGTAGAGATAAAATATTTGATTGGTAAGTGTTTGACATTGTTTTTATCAATTACGATAATAGCTAATTTTTCATTCATATCGTATTATTGTTGTGGACGGTTTGATGTATAAAACATTTAGCAGTTGAAACTTTTGTGAGAGCTGACTGTTTTGTACAGAATGTGCAAATGGTTTTCTATAATAATTTGCAGTGCACTAAATACTATACTATAATTACGTGTACTATAATTTGCAGTAAACACTTCGTTTTATGTTGACTGACATATGCCAACTGCATGCAAGTGCTTACTGTAATATTAAAAATTATCAAACGAGAAGTGTCAGTGGTAATTAATTACTTATTACGTAATATTATATTGGATAACATTGATTATTAAATAAATGCCAAGGGCAATTTTTGTTGGGCTCTTTATTGAGATTTTTCCCAGCTACATGCCATAAATATTGTTACTTTTGGGGAGCTGATACAGTCAGAAGGCCCTTATTTTCTATGTTATATTAATAGATTGTTATTTTTTAATTGTCAGGACAACATGTTTACTCGGCTCCTAATGTGTTGATGGTAGAAAGCAATGATTTGATTTATTTTCACGTCATTCAGCCAAGAAAAGTCGGTTATGTATTCAAAACACGACCAGCCCAAGATTTCGGTGATCTTTTTGTAAGTTATTTGAGAATTTTTTCTATACTTACAACAGTCAGGCCTGTCGTACAAAGAGTTTAAAGTGGAAGTCAAGTCTGTATGTAAACAAATGGTTTGTTTACATTTTGAACTGCTGTATTTTTTTAAAGACCATGTGAAGTCCGTTCTGCGCATACGCTCTGCGCAGGCTTACATTCCAATGATCGGGACCCGACCGTTGGAATGTTAAATTAATATTTCGTATTTTTTGAACTTTCTTGAATTGAATCTCTAGTCTGTATTCATTTACAAGCATAGCGAACCAGAAGAGTGTTAAAAATTCAGTATTATTATATATCTATTAATCATATTTTACAACTGTAGCACTGAGTTCAAAATGTAAACAAAGCGTTTGTTTACATTACAGACTTTACATGGTCTTTAAAATATGATGTACTGTCTGAATATCTAACACCATTTTGGTTCGCTGTGCTTCTAAATGAATATGAAATAGAGTTTATGTTCAGAAAAATTTGAAACATTTGAAATTTGGGCAATGTTTACATTAGAGGGTCCTCATGCACATTGTTATGAGCAGAACCGATGCGCAGAACGGACTTGACTTCCACTTTAAGCAGGGAGTGTGATATTGTATTTGCTGACAATACAGAATGTGTTAATGTCAAATTTATTACAAATTTTATAACAGCAACATGTCACTATGATAGGGTTTGTTCAAAACTTGCAAGTTCTTGAATGTCCTTGAATTTGACAAACAAAAATTCAAGGCCTTTGAATATCCTTGAATCTGTAATTAAGAAGCACTTGAAAGTCCTTAAATTCTTCTTGCTTAAAGGGGCCCTTAACAGTCATTTTTTAGTCAAAAAGCCACCTTAAGTAGGGGACTCTACGGAGATTCGTTTGGCTGTATCTTACATGCAGTATCCATGAGTATGAGTACTTTCGCACACCAGAAGACGTATGCATGCCTTGGTCTGTTGTTTTTTTCTGAATTTGATTAATTACCATGTTGATATTGAATTTCAGAATATAGTTTATAACAAGATCAATTTAATACCAGTGGAGCCTCCTCTAGGCTGTCGGGAATTAGAAAATAAAGACCTGGTATCAGGATCCATTGCTTTGGTTGAAAGAGGGTATGTAGCTTAACTATTAGCCTGCAAACAGGCTCATTGGGTTGCAAGTGCCCCAGAAGACCTGTTCACAACTTCCATTGATCAATCATGTTATCAATTCAATATAATAAGACATCATAACACAGTTTGAAGGCTTCTGCCCTGAGAACCTAGTGAGAACCTCGTACCTGCTGTGTATCGGCAGCAAGCATAGATATCTCAGCAAGGCAGTGGTGCAGTGTAGTTTTTCGATTCGTTCAGGTCTGATGAGTGTCACACTGGGTTCACACTTTAAAAAACATGATTTATTAAGATATTCATATATTTATCCAAGTGTCTCCACAATGCAGGAAATGGCCTAAAATTCAAATAATATGGGGGGCATGTCCCCAGTCCCCCTAGAATTGTGACATCAAAAATTAAGGCCCCCCCCCCCCCAAAAAAAAATCCTGGTGAGCCCACTGCAGTAAGGCTAGCATAAAGTTATTGGGGCAGCTCATACCTAATAATTCTTATTCCTAGCTAGTATATAACCCAGTACCCCAAAGATATTTGCAATTTTTTGTTGTCTATTGATTACTATTTGATTACATTTCCAAATGGAAAGTATGTGTGTGCTCTTGAAAAATTTGCTTCTTAGTTGATCATTCATCGACAAATTTTCTTCAGATTTGGCAGAATTGCTTTTAATATTGTTTTCTTGCC